TCAATGCGCGAGGTCAAAGATTGGATGAACTTTGAACTTTCTGTGTGTTCACGCGTTTAACATTGATTTAGTGAAGCCGTATCTTTGCAATGTACCTATTTCAATGTCACATCAGAAATCAGGAATGAAAACAAAAGGAAGCGCTTTATTTTTTGCTCGAATCGCAAACCGACCCATTAAATATGCTGGTGCAAACGATACCTTTTTATTATAAAATATTTTAATTTTGTTTGCAGATTAAAGTTAATAAAAATGGCCCATTGGCCGGCATTTGTGCCGCATCCGGTGCAATACCCATTACGATTGACGGTTACACGGGAAACATCACTAGCCGAGGATGATAGAAGTATATTAGCGGAGGCCAGCCGTCAGCTGCTACAGCTTAATCTAGGACATGTAGAGAATAATACAATTCTCCACACACAGCGTTTATTGTCTGGTTACAAAATCGTTAGCATGGAGTTCAAACTGGTCAACGCAAAACCATTCCAAAATCCCAGGGATTACTTTGCGACTGTCCGGCGGCAATGGTGTGAGCAGAATTCGGACAACATGCCATGGCTTGGTACCGAGGATGGTGATTTATATTCCATTAAAGGAAAAAACACACCTGTTCATAGAGATATGAAGATTACACAACTTTCGCTTGGGGCTTTCATCGACCGAGCCACATACGCAAATCACTATGATAGTACTGACAGCCAACTAAACATAGTCTTGCATTTAGAACACGACATAAATATGTTTACGTTGATGCTCACTCGGGATGGTGACGATGATAATGAAGTCCCTTACAGAATGGAGCTTAGATATGACGAAATGGACAAACTGATCCTCGTGAACGACACTAATTCCGCCCTCGACGTCTACTTCCCACTAAAATACCCGCCGCGTTTGAGCATGGAAATCGAACATCCAACAACACGTAAAACCGTGTGGGAAAGAAAAAATAATTTCCCAGGTTGTGCGTGTGAAGTATTCGGCAACTCATCTGTCTTGCGACTACGCTTTACCGGTGAGGCACGTCAAATTCGTCGAGCATTCGGACGTTTCCGTGGGCGCGCAAGGTTTAAGATTTACTATATCCGTATGCGTACCGTCTCACCGCCGACAACACATTTCAGCAAACCAACGATGCCGAACTACGAAACAAGCTACGCTTTACGATGTGTAGAGAGTCGAGGTTATGTCGTAACTGACCAATTAAATTCGTTATATACAGTTCTGCGATCGAATATGGCCATTGACCCAGACATCCTATCTAAGGCTCTGTATCAGCTAGCCATTGAAATAGAAAATGAGCGTTTTTTAAATATAGGTCTTTCCTTGGAACGTCTTATTGAAGAGTTGTCTAAAGACAGTGACGATGATGTTCAAGATATACCTAGGCAGTGTAGGTATCTACGCCGTGTTATGGTCACCCCTTCCCGTCTGATATTTCTCCAGCCCGAATTAATGTTTGAAAACCGGGTACTCAGAAGATACAGCGAAGAATACTGCGCCAGATTAGTCTTCAAAGATGAGAACTATCAACGACTTTCTAATCCAGTATCAATTTCAAGTGATGTTGCAAACAAGATTATTTCCACTCTACAGAATGGCTTCCAGGTGGCTGACCGCAACTACGAATTTCTGGCATGCTCCAATAGCCAACTACGAGAGCATGGGTGTTGGTTCTACGCGAAGGATAACCATGGCAACACAGCAGCTAACATCAGGGAATGGATGGGCGACTTCAGTAAAATTCGTTGTGTAGCTACGTATATGTCAAGGATGGGCCAGTGTTTCTCAACATCGGAGGAAACTGTGAATGTGACAGTCGAAGACGTCACTGTTTCCAATATTGAAGACATCACAGGAGGCATGGACATTAATCAGAAGCCATATTGTTTTTCTGACGGTATTGGCAAAATATCTAAACAACTAATTGAAAAGGTAAATCACAGTAATACATTTAAATAGATGTGTTGTTATCAGTCATACTTATGTAGACCTACGCCACTGTCCTATCATGGTTCGAATGCGTTCGTTCATACGTTGTATGCAAGAGGCCATAGTTGACAAACCACTGACAAACAACATTGTCTTTCATAATTCGAACCCACGACATAGCGTTCATCCACAGCAATATAGCACATCCCACTCTATGCAGTAGATTGTCGATCATTGTCTATCCATCGCCCGTGTATATTTCTCAAGGTGATTCATAACAAAGTACGGGTATTAAACTCACTATTCAGTGATGTGTGGGAAACATGACGTGACAAGGGTAGTTATGGGGAACTACCCTATGTCCCTTGATGTCATTTACGTATACCCTGGCAGTTTTAATTTAATTCGACGTATTAGACAAAGTCTACATAATTTCTCCCAACTAACAAATAATTTTATATTTTCCACCACCTGTTAACATTGACCAATCATGGCCTGTCTCTAATTGTACAAGCAATAATCAGTTGCAGCGCAATCACTGTTTTGCGGCGACTGGCACTATAAATCACATTACCCGTGTATTGTTGTGAACATAAGCGTTGTGTTCAGGGATCGAGGAACTTCGTCTCACTTGACTGATGTCATTCACACGTAGAGGTACCAGATTCGACCCAAATGAGTACACATAAGTTCATTACAGATAGTCCAGCTTAATTCACACAAGTTGTCAACCGAGATAACCCTTCGCTGCACCGTTCTCTCGTTCTCCCCTTTACAAAAGTTTACAAAACTCTATATGCGACCATGCGACCAGCCAATCGCTGCAGTCGTTGGCACGATCACGTGATTACCGGTATGTGTCTCACGGTTAAAGCCTTGCGAAGTCGCCATTACTAAATACAATAAGTATACAATCTATTTATAAAATTCCTGTAATCTATGTTTATGATGTCTACCCTAAACAAGTTGTTGATTTTAGTCTAACGGCGTGAGAATCGAATGTGCGAACGTGAAGTCGCTATCATAACAGTATACTGTCTAAATGTTTTCAGTCAGCTGACATTTTATTTTGGGTCAAGTGATTCACCACTTAAAAGGGGGCGATAAACTGGGAATAGGTGGTTCAGTCACTCAGACAACATTTGATGGCTTGGCTGCCTGGCCACCACTTAGAGTCCAACACTGTACTGACCAATCACGTTCGACTAATAACGTCATAGCTGACGTTACATTGCATAATCAGTATTTATGATTATACTTTGAACAAAAGACAAAAGAATTGAAATTATATATGCGAAAACTTTGATCTAATATAATTGGGTATTGCTTAATTATATGAAGGTCACAATTTTGCATCTAGATTTCCCATGGGCACCCGTGCAATATATCCGAATAAATGGAAATTACACTGCAGCAGTGACGGATCCAGCAAAATGTATTGGGGGGCGGTGGAGTTTCGCTTAAAATTACGGAGCGTAAATCGCAGAGAAGCTATGCGTAATCCAGATGTTATGAATCGTCATGCGTTTGGCTTCCCCTCTGGATCCGCCACTGCACTGCAGACTGACCTTTTGTGATTTCACATTTTCATTTCAGATCTGCGAAAAAACTGAGAAACATGTTGTGGCATCAGCTTATCAGATCAGATATGCAGGAAGTAAAGGGATGGTTGCATTGGATCCTAGTCTTACCGGTGAACAGATTATGATCAGAAAGAGCATGCTCAAATTCCCCAGCGAACATGACAATATTGAGATCATGAACTTGACGAAACCAGGTATGTTTATCGATCATTACTTGTTTCTGTATTGAAACTGATAAATGGGATAATATGAAAAACACATATTAATTTCATGTCAAAGGCGTCTTTAAAGATAATCATAAAGATTGCATATAATTAAATTTTAATGTTGTGAGCCATCGTGAATTGCGAGACATTGAATAATTAATTATTTGATTACTGGCATTGACCATACCTACCATAAGTTAAGAGAGAGCCATTCATTATTATCTTATTTCGTTCTAACAGTGTTTTCATGGGATAAGTCTACTGCTATTTACTGACTACTGCTATCATTTGATTGCTTGAGAATGCAATAAAAATGGGACACAAACTGGTTGATTGTTATAACAGGGAAAGATGAATAGTGCAGGCATCGAGAATTAGACGACTGTGTTTCTTTAATTTCACGATTTGTCAATTAATTCTGTGCAGTGATCGAGTAAGGGTTGTTATTATTTTTATACACTCAATTTTTTTGTACAGTGGTCGTACAGCAAAAACGTTTAGAACAAATATCAGCTTTCATATTCATATTCCAGTGGGAAAAGTTGGCATGAGTTTGTTAATCTACCAACTTTTTTTTATATATGTATATTTTTGGCGGGAAAACAAATTGAATGTAGATGTGAAAAAGGTTCATAATTTCTTTAAATATCTCATCTCATCTCATGTCATGTGGATAAATAACCTCATTGGTCAAGCATTGATTCTAGTTACGTTATTATCACCTCATTAATATGCACATGATCATTTGATCCGACGAATAAGTGCGATTGACGCATTTTTGGTGGTGAAATCATTTTGCAATGCCCTCGTTCAAATACCCTTCTTACAATTGGTAACGAATTACTGAAAATCCACAAGAAAGTAATGCAGTTGAGGTTAAATATATCATTCATGTTTCATCTGTTTTACGCATTGAAAAATGTTCTATAGTTCTATTTGTTGTCAAACGCTGTTGATGTGCATTTAATATGAAATGTTCAACATTACGGACAAATGCCACCAAAGGCAAGCATATATTTATTTTTCTTACTCACGTATTTGTTCTGTATGGTTACATACGAGTCATATCGTGTCACCGACTTCCGAGGGCCAGTGTATGATACACTATATTTTTTTTCTAATTTGCAGCCCGTTTACATCTAAACCGTCAAGTTATAACAATATTATCAGGCCTTGGGATAGAAGACAAAGTGTTCCTGAAGCTACAACACAGAATGCTGAACAACTTGGCCAATATGTTTCTGAAAGAAGACGTTGCTGCCGCCTGGTTGAGTCGTAGATCTCAAATTGGCATTAATTTTAAACATATGATGACATGTGGAATCAGTCTAACCACGGAACCATTCTTCAAGTCATTGTTACAAGCTGTCTACAAAAGTCTTCTTGGTAAGTTCCAACATGTATTTATTACACGTCACCGTAATGGATATCCCAGCATTTAGTAATTTGCATACATTTGCATACATTGCATGCACATTTGATCATATATTCTGGTTTACTGTTGTTGGTTTTGTTGTACGTGTGCATTGTTTGTCAGTCGTTTCTTTTGAGTTCCTGATTTCGTAAATTCACAACCATATATTCTTCCTTTAGGTGAACTTCGACGGAGAGCGAGGATTATACTCCCTCCACAGTTTGCACGCAATATGATGGGTGTTATAGATGAGACAGGTGCATTACAATATGGCCAGGTATTTATACAATACTCTAAAAAACTGGATAAACCACAAAAAGAAAAGATTGTCCATTCTGGCCCTGTTGTTGTCACTAAATTTCCATGTTACCACCCTGGTGATGTCAGGAAGTTCCAGGCTGTAGATATCCCGGCACTATACCATCTGATTGACTGTATTGTATTCCCGAGACAAGGACCACGACCTCACCCAAATGAAATGGCTGGATCTGACCTGGATGGGGATGAATATTTTGTTACCTGGTTACCAGAACTTCTGTTCGACCGAGAAAACCATGAAGCTATGCCCTTTCCGGCAGCTGTGAAGAAAGAGCTAACAAATCCAGTTGAAGTTGCTGATATGATAAAGTTTGTAACAGAATACATTCAGAATGATTGCTTGGGGTTAATGGCCAATGCACATTTAGCAATGGCAGATCAGCAATCTGATGGTATATTTTCAGATATGTGTTTAAATATTTGTAAACTATTGTCTGAAGCTGTTGATTTTGCCAAGACTGGTAACTGTCCAACACTTGATAAAAATCAACAGCCAAATACATATCCAGATTTCATGGGGAAACAAGACAAAACTAATTACAAGTCAAAGCATATTCTTGGAAAACTATATCGCCATTGTTGGTCTCTTGAAAGTGCTACGATTCCCAAATTACGGGCACATAGTTACCACAAAGATAGTGACTATGATGTCAGGAATGTTGAGGTTGACCAGTCATTGTTATATCCAGGATATGAGGAGCACCTTTCTTTTGCAAACAAATCACTGAAGAAATACAACAACCAGTTGCGTTTATTAATGTCTCAATATGGCATTGAAAGCGAGGCTGAAGCTATATCTGGGTGTATCACCAAATTAAACAAAAGAATAACAGGAAAGGGTGAGCGATTTGATGCAGAGAAGGTCATCAGAGCCAAATTGGCACACTTGAGATCAGTTACCAGAAGAGAATTTGATTCCTCATTTGGAGATGAAGCAAATGGTGGTAGCGATAATGATGATGAGGATGAGGAAAGAAACGACAAGATATTGGCCAAGGCATCCGCATTTTATTATGTTACATACAGTCAGAGAGATACCCAACTAATTAGTTTTCCTTGGGTAGTAGCTGATCTCTTGAGAAAGGTTAGGTTACGGGGACAACCTAATGTCTGCAAAAATCCCCTTCTGATAGATATCAGGTCTCAATTGCTTGCGCCTTTCGAAGATCTTTTAATTAGAGATAGACTCCCAATAGCCTATTTAATAGAGTTTTGTGATGACAGTGAGCCGATAGCTGATGTCAAACAGTATCTCGTGAATTACCCCTGTTTGATGCCAGTAGCTAATATGATAGTACTTTGGTCTGAAAAGCATAATCTAATAGACTCGGGCAGTGCATCTAGTAAACATGCCTTGCTTCAGTTGTTCTTTGAGTTTGCTGTAGGTGAGGAATATATTTCTCAACATAATTCAACATCAGGTGTATCTCAGAAGTGGTATCAGTTGCTTATAGATGGGGAATTTGACCACTTTGCTACCAATAATCTGAAAAATGATCTTATCAGTACCGTGTTCGTGGAGTTCCTCAACTATTGCAGCAAGTTTTTGTTTGATGAAACTTTAGTTGTGAAACAGGTAGACAGTAGCAGACTAAGCAAGGATCAGATTTGGGAACTGGGGGAAACTGCTCTAGCATCATTCCATCATTTGGCCCAAACTGCCTCAATTGATGCTATAATCTATGGAAAAGTGTGGGAAATAGAGGATGAAAGGTCTATTAGGATATCACCCAATTGCTGGGCTGTCCTGTCAAAGGATATTAAAGCCGCTGAGGAAGAATTTAAGGATACAGGAGCTGATATTAACATGAGGGCTCATTCATATGGCAAACGACCATGTGGTCAATTAACTGCATATGGCACGCTGAGAGCAATCCGACATGTACAGGACATATTATATGAACTCGAAGAACGGCACCGTAATGACTATAGAGGATTCAGAAGAATGGGTCAATATGGATGGAACTTTAACGATGATAACTATAATGATGACATTTATGATAATTATAATGACATCTATAATGATGACAATAATGATGACTTCGTCGATGATAATGTGTATGATGACTATGACATTGACATTGATAATAATTTTGATGATGACATCTATAATGATGACAATAATGATGATAATGTTTATGATGACTATGACATTGACATTGATAATAATTTTGATGATGACATCTATAATGATGACATCATCGATGATAACTAACCTTTAACTAACCATCTTTTTCTTCTTTATATTTTGTTTGCGTACATCATGAGTTTCGGATAATCCACTAATATGTACCAAGAAACTCAATATCAGGTGTATTGGTTGGTTACATAAATGTGTGCATAACAAAGAGGATCTCTCTCATGCGCTTAATGTTTTCATGATGAATACAAAACAAAACAAAACAAGCTTAAGATCATTTCACAATTGAACGGTACCTTTATCATTCGTTACAATTACAATTACAAAATGTAATTCGGCAACACGTTTTCAAGTTCAGGTATCCTAATTTAGTGGATGTGTTTATTGGGGCGTCCGTTGCTGTCGAATTGTTTTTTCACTGATTTATTGACCATTTTAAAATGTGTCTGCTCGCATTCGCGCATGAATAAAGGGAGAAAAAAAATCGACGACCCTCCCGCTTTAAAGTTATTATAAGATAAAAGAATGTGTTATATTGGCAGATTGTATTGCTTTATCGAAAATGGATGAAAATAAAAATTCTAATCTTTCATAGAAACAAATGAAAATAACTTTGTTAATTAAATCTTAGGGCCACTAGTTGGATATAGTTCTTATTCAATTAGGGTTGAATAATGAAATACGTCCTTAAAAGCAAAAAAAGGGCCACTGCGACTTCATGGTCAAGCTCAATCCTGGATTTGGCAAGAATTGCTTCAGGTATATTATTTCGTAAAAACAATATATTCTTTTTAACAATGCATCACAAAACAGTTATTTCCGAATAACACACCCGCACGATCTAACTCGTTTTGTGGTGACGCTATTCAACTAAATTACAACAATCTATGCTTCCAATTTAAGCGCAAACTACATTTCTATATTCGCTGTATCCATGAAAGTCAATTCTTCATAAAATACTCGATTTTAAATAATTTAATCATATCTCCGGTTAAAATTCGATTCCTGGTACCTAAACATGAATTGTTTATTCTACACATTAGACAGTTTTGCTCTTAAAAGTTTCAGGAGGTCTTTGTGAATAAAATGATTGTATATTGATAATAAGCAGTTTTATTACGTCATAATTATTTTTTTTACAGATTCAATGTAACACAGTCATAGCTGAGTGATTCAAGAAAAGTTTTGATTGTATTAATTTGTTTGTATTTTGAATTTAAATATACCTTGCTTTTTGTGTTAGACAGTTGTATTTCGTCATTGTTATAATTATTTTCTCATATTCAATGTGACACAATTATCATTGAGTGATCCGGGGAAACATTTGATTATATTAATTCGTTTGTATTTTGAATTTAAATATACCTTGATTTTTGTGTTAGACAGTTGTATTTCGTCATTGCTATAATTATTTTCTCATATTCAATGTGACACAATTATCATTGAGTGAGTGATTGAATATATTAATTTGTTTGTATTTTGAATTTAAATATACCTTGCTTTTTGTATTAGACAGTTGTATTTCGTCATTGTTATAATTATTTTCTCATATTCAATGTGACACAATTATCATTGAGTGAGTGATTGAATATATAAATTTGTTTGTATTTTGAATTTAAATATACCTTGCTTTTTGTATTAGACAGTTGTATTTCGTCATTGTTATAATTATTTTCTCATATTCAATGTGACACAATTATCATTGAGGGATCCAGAAAAACATTTGATTGTATTAATATTAATTTGTTTGTATTTTGAATTTAAATATACCTTGCTTTTTGTATTAGACAGTTGTATTTCGTCATTGCTATAATTACTTTTTCATAATCAATGTAACACAATTATCATTGAGTGAGTGATTGAATATATAAATTTGTTTGTATTTTGAATTTAAATATACCTTGCTTTTTGTATTAGACAGTTGTATTTCGTCATTGTTATAATTTTTTTTCATATTCAATGAAACACAATTATCATTGAGTGATTCAGGGAAACATTTGATTGTATTAATTCGTTTGTATTTTGAATTTAAATATAACTTGTTTTTTGTGTTAGACAGGTGTCATTGCAATCATTCCTTCTGATTCAACGTAACACTGATCAAAGAAACGTGTGATTGAATGAGACCACAGTTTGGGAGTCTGTAACTGTGATATATCAATACTTATACTGACAAGACGTTTTTTCGTACTCGTCAGTTCGAATCACTTATATTGCGTGTTTATATGTTCGCAATTCACTCTTACATTTGATGGTCATTGCTGGTTAATTTGGGTTTCAGGTCTCATAACACCAATTAGATTATCAGCGTTCGTAGCCGAGCATATGTGGTTGTTAGTCATTTTTCCAGTTTTCATGGTGTTTTATCTTAAACGCGATGTGTGATACTTCCATTAAGTCACATCTGTTAGACTCGCGTGTGAAGCTTTGTTTATTGATAAGTACCCTGACATGTGAATCTGGGAAACTATCTATTAGACACTTCAACACTTTTCTGAGAATATTGAAGGTAGAAAGCCTTGTTGGAACCGATAATGTAATAAATTCCCGATAATGTATCATTAACCGATAATGTAACACGAATTAACCGATATTGTAATAAAAACCGATAATGTAACAACACGCAACCAATAGTGTAACAAAAAAGGCAACCGATAATGTAACAACAAATAACTGATAATGTAATAGATTATTTTTCCAACTGATAACGTAACAAGAAGATTACCGATTACGGATAATGTAATAATACGTATATTTGCATTGAAATTGTTCGCATTTTCTAGAACGATATGGAATTTACTGTATTTTATATAACAGATTATTTTGATTGTTTTAGCTGCAATTCAACTATAAACATTACTTAAGTGTTCAATCACTCTAGGTGACACGTCTAGCCTACTGATATTGATTGCATATATTCGTGTTCAAAGTTTGGTTTCGGGGTTGCCATGAAGATATTAAGAATTATGTGGCCTCCCAAGAAAATATGAAGGATCATTTTGAGAGGGTGTAAAATGTGTTTACATTTTGTGAAACGCAAAATATTATGTGTTAATTATGTCATTCTAGCAAAAAAGGGGGTCCAACCATGCACAAATTGCAACAGAAATAATTTCTTGATAGTGCTTTTTGGAAAGGTATCTAGATTGACATACTAAAAGTCTAGGAAAATCTAGGTTTCCGAAATATTCCCAATTTGCATATGTTCAAAATGGTCGTTTTGCACATTTTTACAACATGAAAATATAACTATTTGGACATATCTTTAATTCTAGATGAGGTATTTAAAAAAAATCATGATGCTATGGTACTGTTTTGAGGCGGAGAAGGTTTGAGAGTGCCAAATGTGTTGATTGGGTAGATGAAAATTAGCATAAATACAATATGGCCGTGATAATGTAATTATTTAATGTAACTTCTCTCCTGGCTTCTCTTCTATGTGGCATAAGTAATAAGTTTAAGATGCTAGAGTACAATTTTAGACAGAATAGTACAGTATAGAAAAATGTAAATAAATGGTTTCATGGGTAGATGGATGCTTCATCTGCATAAATCCAACATAGCTGTCACATCTAAAAGAAAAACTAGAGGAATGAAACAACTTGGTTGGATCTACAAATCTGCTATTGTATATACATAATAGACCATTTAAACGTAAATTTTCAACTCTATAAACTATATTTTTGATTTAACAAACTGTATTAAATAGTATTCTGTCCAAAAGTTTATTGTTTGATTAATGTAATTGCTAATCGCCATCGCTATTTTCATCAGATATCTGAACTACATTTGTGCATCCATATCCTCGACATTGACCACAAACTGCAGAACATTCAAGGTTTTGCTTTCTGCAAAACATCTGAGACTACGACAGTCTGTGGAGCAGTTGCATCTCACTGTCCTCATGAGAAATTCAGGTGCTGCCTCCTTGTCAGTCATTACATGAATGACGATCAGTTGTGGGTCGCGTCCTGGGATTTGCTTCGTGGCGAGAAATCTGATTTGTGTCTTTATCACGACTTGATTGTCCATAAAGGTGACACACCCGGTCGAGAAGGACAGGGCCCCTAGTTCAGCCTGGCGCCTACCTGAGGGGAGGTTGAGTAGAAAGACTGTTTTCCACATCAAAAGTCTGATTAAAAAGTAAACAGTCTCCTAATGGTAGGACAATCGGCTAGCCTTGTCCCCAGAGAATCCCAATGGTGGGTGACAAGGCTGACCTATAGCCAACAATCGTTCAAACAGCGGACGAAAAATCAGCTGTCTGGTCAACAAAAGGTTGGCATGGATCTTCCTCCCACCAATCAGTGTATGCACGTCATTTCGAGGTGTAGGCTGTGTTGGTGGGATTCCTGTTCGCCCTGGCCAGGACATTGGCAGACCACTCTGAGTGAGTCAACTGAGTTCCTTGATGCGTGTAAGTGGTACATCGCTGGGCTCAAAAGCAGTGCGCCATCCAGTAGTTGGGACAGCAGATCCTGGTGTTTTGACTAACATTTCCAACATGAGTGAAACCCAGACCTTGCTTGGCCCGTTGGGCGCCACCTACGCCACCCCTGTCAAAGTTTCTCCAGTACCCGGTGAATAGCGGGAAGGGAA